AAGGGGCTTTTTGTATAGTGATTGTATATTTTTAGTCTAAGTTGATTGATAGTTGGCGTTTGTTGTCGTTGGACTAATCTTCTTGGTTTGTAAGAGCAACATGTGGAGAGTTTAGTTTACAGAGGGATTTATTATCTAACTTTACTAAAGTTTGATTAAGAATTAACCCTTAGCTTACAATATTTTCAAAAATATCCAGATCTTTTAGGAATACAAAATGATTACATATTTGATTTGAAAAGAATATGCGTATCGAGCGAGATTTACAAAAACATTTAAAATCCTGGAGAAAGAAAAGGTAGTACTCCTAAGCGTACGGCGTCGGTAAAGATCACCAAAAGTCCAAAACTAATTAAACCACACCATAAAATTAAAACAATAAAAAAATCACAAGTACTAGAATTCCCTCAAAAATGTAAAATACTTGTTACATCATCATTATGCTGAACATTAAGACCTACCAATCATCATGACCATCATTATTATGTAACAACCACAACAAAGTTAAAAGGAAAATCAGATCCACATAAAAAGACAGGAACATGATACATCCTATCTACTTAACAATAACACTCTATTATCTCTCTCTTTACCAAAACCGTTTCAACATTACATATATATATACAAACACAACACAACACAACATGCTTCAATCTATTTTCTCTCATAGATACAAATGTAAAGAGCAGAGAAGAAGAAGGGACCGTACCTTTTAATACAGTTTTGACTATCCGTCTAAAACTTATGAGATGATTATCTTCTCTTCTTGAGGCTCTTTTGTCAATAAAAATGTATGCACTCAAAAACTTTTGTTGAAGTTTAGAAAAGTCCAAAGTTGCTTAGAAGCTTGTAAAGCGTTCTGCGTCCCCATTGGATATCTTTCTCTAAAACCACACTCGGCGGTCCAACAGGCTCTGTCTCTAACCGCTGCATCTCTTCCTCTGCTGCATTGTAATGCCTCTCCTCTACACCTTTCACTGCTTCTTGCTCTGATTTCTCAAATAATGAAACTGCTTTTACTTTCCCTTTCCCGTTTCTTTCTCTGGCTTCTTGCTTCTTATCTACCTGCAAACAGCTTCTCCATTCATTACATTAGACAATAAGGGCATTTACAGCCCAAAATCATATTGCTGGAAAATAACTTCAAAGTCTTAATCTCTTAGATAAGCACACATTACTTAAATTTTAATCCAATATGTTCTACCGTGGGGTAACAGTGTACATTGTACGCATGGACAAGAACGGACTTATTTGACAAACGAATACAATGTCTTAAAGCATCAATATGCAAAGATCTGCAGCCGTGTGTATAACAACCAGCTCTAAGGGCTCATTAAACGGCAGTGTACATAGTAGAGCATTTCAATTCATTCTATTGGAAAATAAGCCCAGAGAACCGTCTACACAAGGTTTTATAGAAAAACAGAAACATGAAACTTATCAGGTTATTACCTCCGAGAACGTTTCGGCTTTACCTTCATTGATAACTTCTACTGACCCATGAGTGTTGGGTCCACTCACTTCTTCGTTCTCCAAGTCAGACAGAGGAATCAATCCAGGGACCAAAACTGGACTGTCTTCTTCATCAGTAAACATGCCTTCCTTGGTCATATTTTCATCCCGAGCACTTAGGGCTCCATTTGAATGGTCCATGGTTTTCTCCATTTGGATATCGAAACTCGACTTTTCCTCAGACTCGTCACTTACGTATCCTGCATTCCCTACAACTACTACTGAAGATTTTTGTTGTACAATACCAAGCACTTCCTCCTCCTCCTCTTCCGCACCGTTTGATGAAACATTGGTGTTAAGCATATCCAAGTTAACAGTAGACTGCTTTTCTTCCTGAATAACTGGCAAAAAATCTTCCTCGATCATCATTTGGAGATCAGCATTTTCCCAGTCTTCACACAATCTGATTGTCTTGTTAGTTTCCCACGTTTCAAGTGCCCTGTTTGGACCTGGTTGCCACAAGATCTCCCCTGTCTGTGCCTTTAGTATGAACTTGAATTCAACCAATCTTCCAACAGGCAGATCCTAAGTTGAAAGAAACCACATCAGAGTAAGCTAATACATTTCCAAGTATCTAAACTCTTACAGAATCTACGTGACCAAGTTAACGAGAAATCGATGCATACCAGATCTACGGTCCAAACATGCCCATCTGACCAGGTTAATGGTAAGGCATTTTCAGGGTCCCAGAGACCTCCAAACACAGGATCATCACCAAGGATGAAAAAATGTTCCCCAAACACACACTCTTTCCGCAACTGGAACCTTACACGAACCGTTTTTGTAGGAGCTGCAAGATTATTATTAGTAGAAGATGATCAAACCCGGAAGAAAACAAAAAAAAAACCATATATCTTAGCAAATCCAAGTATTCCGGTACTAGAAAGGTAACATAGAAACTTACAATTTACTACATCTTCAATTTCTGCAGCTTCTACATTTACCTATACAAATGTAAGAACACAATTATAAAAAAAAACTGAATCTCCATTGTAAACAGAGCCAAACAAATTTCGAGAAAACGTAATTGCAGAGAACGCAGAAAAAAACCGGAAGGTGTTATTATTACCTGAGAAACCTGAATCGACGACGAACGAAGCGGAATCGGCTTAAAAATCCTACTCTGAACAGAATCTAAACGCAAAAACTTGAGGTGAAACGTTTTCCTGGGAAAAGAAGGGAAAATCTCAGTTCCACAACGGAAAATCCCTGGAGGAAAATCTTCGAGAAGGATCTTCGTT